CTAGCATATCAATGTTAGGTAAAGGAAAAGCGTATTTGGGGCATGCCCAATTAAGATCAGTATAATCAACTTACATTCTCCATTTTCCATTATTCTTTTTAACTAGTACAACGTTTGAGAGCCAGGTTGAATACTGGGCCTCATAAATAAAATTTGCCTCTAGGAGGTCTTTTACAGCATTTTCAGCAGCCTCCGCTTTCTCAAGAGACTTCCTACGTCTATGTTGCACTACTGCCCTAGCAGCTGGATCAATGGCCAGTTGGTGACAGGCGACCTCGGAGTCGAGTCCGGGCATCTCCGTAATGCTCCATGCGAACAGGTCCGCATTCTCCCTCAAGCAAGCTTTGATCTGCTTCCTCGCCAAGTCAGGGAGTCCGGTGTCGATCTTCACGCCTTTGTGAGGGTCTTCACCGCGGGGGATGAACTCAAAGTATCTATCTGAGATGGGTGGGAGGAGTTCCTATTCGCTGTTAGAGGCTTCATCCTTGTCGAAGCGAGTTTCAGGCGAGATGGAGTCGACCTTTGGTGGAGCCCTTTGTTCTTCTAACCGAGAAGACGGCGGTTCAGGTCGAGCAGTGGTAGCTCTTTTGGCAGGTCGCGCTCCAGTGTCAACCATGCTCTTCCCTTTAGAAGTTGCATTAAAACATCTTCTAGAGAAGAGATGTCCCTGTGGATAGTGGCGACGCGCCCTCTCCGAGTGTATAATTTCATCTTCAAATGGACGGTGGAGGGCACGGCGGTCAAGTCGGCCAATGTTGGTCTCATTAGGATGCAATTATAGAGAAACAGGCAGTCTGTCACTATAAACTGCACATTGATTTGTCAGGAGGAGGTCTCTTCCCCGAAAGTGACAAAAAGCTCCACGTAGCCCCACAGTTTAGAGGTCGAGTCGTTGAAGCCGTGTAGGTCGGAGCCCATGTATGGTGACAGGTGGGTGTCATCGAGCTATAAGGTTTGGAATAGATGATTATACATGACTTCAATGGAACTTCCTTCATCGACCATAATAAGGTGCATGTCAAAGTTAGCCATCCTTGCCCTTACTAGTAGAGGGATACCCGAGTTTACGGCTCCACCGGGAAACTCCTCAAGGTAGAAAGTGATTGGTTCAGATTTTCCTTTGAACCTCTCAAGTGTCACCGCTTGGGCTGGGGATGCGTCCACCAGCTCGTCGAGCTTCCTCTTCGTGGAGTTTACAGAGAGGTCTTTGAATCCCCCTCCAATTATGACCATGGCAGAGGGGAATTTCTCCCACCTGCTATGCATGAACAAGGGTTCTTCCTCGTAGTTGTCTGAGACGTGGAAGTCCTTCGGCCTTGTCACAGAGAAAGCTATCTGTATGGGACCCAACTTGTCCGTTGGTCGGGTTTTTTCCTCGACTTCCTTCACCTCGCGAGTGTCTCGACGAGGAGCATTATTGCATCGATACTGCCCGAGTCTGCCGCCCTTGATGAGGGTCTCAATGACATCCTTGAGGTAGACACAGTCTTCTGCCAAGTGTCCATGACTCCGATGGTACTGATAATATTTTGTCTTGTCAGTCCCGGGCTTCACAGGAGTAGGTCGAGGATGTTTGACACCGCCGTTCTTGAAGTCGGTATTGGAGCACTCCTCCAAGATGCGCTCGCGGGAAGTGGTCAATAGAGTGTACTCAGTTAAACGCCATGCCGGTCCCTTGTGCTCGTGGGGATCTCGTGGCTTCTCATCCCTTCTCTTCTCGCTAGTCCTTCGAGAAGGGCCCACATCCTAGTGTCGTTGGATGTAGGCCAGTCCGTGATTCCTCGAGTCGTTGGCTTTGTTGGTTGTCTCCTTCTCCTTGTAGTCCATGTAGGATCGTCCTTTCTCGAGAAGGGCATCGAAAGACCGGGGGGCTCTATGCTGGCAACCTTTCTAAATTTAGTTCCCGGGAGGAGTCCTCTCTCGAGCAAGTACCTCTTCGTGTGATCGGTGCACGGGACCTGAATGGCCTTGCGGTTGAACCGATCAATATATTCCCTGAGGGTATTGTCGCTTCTCTGAACGATAGCCTCAAGGGCGGCCTCAGTCTTTGGGTGTCGACGAGACGCTATAAAGGAGATGATTATCTGGTTCTTGAGGTTTCTCCAGGAGGTGATCGGCCCTGGGGAGAGATTCTTGTACCAGTCCATTGCAGTTTTCCTCAAGGTCATGGGGAACAACCGACATTTGATTGGTCCCCCGATGTTGTGATAGTGAAACATTGCCTCGAACCCGTCGATAGGGTTGTAATACCATCATATTCCTTCAGTTGGGGAGGTTTCTCCATTCCTATGGGAATGTGAGCCTCTATAATTTCTTGTGATAAGGGACCGCGAGGGTCGTCTTCATCGCTCTTGTAGGGAGAGTGGGAGGGGGACCAGTTGTAATGGCGGTCGTAGTGATGGCCTTGGCCGAGGTTGTGTTTATCTGTTTTCCCTGTTTCTGTTTTTAGGGGATATTCGTTCCCTGTGCGGGGGGGGGGGGGGGGTAAGGCCACGTCTCCCGGTGGCTTCAGGTAGTGTTCTATCCAACACGGGGCGTTGGCCAGTCTGTCGGGGAGGGAGGCTTCGCGATCTGTCCAGTCTGTGTCTCCATGGGGGAGATCGAGGATGGTCTTCATTCTGACGGGGAGGAGGAGTGTCAGGTCTCCTGTGTCTCCTCGGGTCCCGACGAGTCTGTTCGAGCACTCTCAATCGTTCACCCTGCGAGAAGATCAAGTAGTTTGTTTGATTGATGGTCGTAGACAATGCTCTGGTCGTGGCATCAGCGCCAGTAGGGACGAGGACCTCCTGGAAAGTGTTTGGTTCATAGTTCTGGGGGGCATAAACATCCTCGTGTGGTCGAGAGTGAGATGATGAAAAGGCGGCCATCTTGTCTTTTTAATTCTGCTCGAGATCAGCCATATCGATGTCGTTCCTGATGTTGTTGTGACCAACATTATTGCTAACGTTGTTGTTAATGTCAGCGAGGTGGGCGTTTTGGTTGTTGTTGTTGGTAGATTGATCGACCATGACAATCAGAGTTTAATGGAAGGTTGCTTTAGTCTTGCGATAGAGACAGGGAAGCTAGTTTCCCACAGACAATGCTGCTGATCGTACCTAACTAGAAGAGACTGTCAAGGCCTTCGAGCTTTTCGTCGAGCAACAATTTGATGTGAAATGGGGGGGTGGGGTACCTGTAAGACACTCTGATGCTAAAGTAAGATTCAGGGAGAGTGCTAGCAATTATGAGAGTATGTGAGTTAAAGAATCAATACCTGAACCTCTCAAATGAGAGGGTATTTATAGCCCCCAGCGCTCGGCCAAGGTCTTCAATGATGAGCCATGATGAGGCCCAACAAGGAAGACTGCTAGGGTTTACGTGTGTATGGGGTCCAACACGTGGCCCCTTCTCTGGTCAACTGGTCCGAGAAAGTAGGTACTGGATCGGTTATTCCCGGAGGGTAGTACGATGATGGTTTGGACACATGGGAAACGTCTTCCTAGCAGACACATGGGGAAATTCCCACAATCATTATGTTGGGATGCAAATTTGGGCCTTTGATAGAGGCACTGGACTGGGCCTCCCCAGCGGTGGGGCAAGAGCTAGCCCAGTCCAGAATAATTACCATCTTTAATTTTTCTAAGATTTTAAGCGATTATTTTAATATGTAAATTGTTAGATGGATTTTGGTTGAGTCAAGTGTTTAACATTTTAATCTTCCAATGAGTCAAGTGGTTGATGTGATTAGAGAACTTGGAAATGAAGGGGTTGGGAAATTAGGAAGTTGGATTATTGTTGTTGTTGATGATTCTTGTTGTTGTAAGTTGTGGTTTATGAATCAGTATCTATTTGTTGTCGATACCACCATTTTGCAACTTGCACACTAAGTGTTTGATAAATTGCTTCAACCAAGTTTCTTTTTCCTTTTCCGCTTATGTTTCTTACGAGTTATGGTGCTGAATTGTTGTTATTGATTGTTTCACTAGCTGAACGTGTGAATGAAGGAAGTATTGAAGCAAGTTTTTTATTCTAGAGACATATCTGCCATGTGATAGTGTCAAGATTTTGAAGAAAGCTCTTTTAAATAACAAAGTGAGTTACAACTCACAAGCTCTACCTTGCTCAGCTTGTTGTTTAATTGAACTTAGTAAATATGTGTGATATGTTCTGCTTTATTACGAACTTGTGATATATTTTATTGTAATGATTTATCAGGCAGTTGTGTATTATTATTGCAATTTTATTATTGACAAGGGAAATACAGAGAAATCACACGGGATGGCTCTAGCCGCATTGCAAGCAGCAAATGAATACTTCAAAGAAAGTAAGAAGTTATGTGAGGCATTCCACGCGACTCCTCCATTGTCAAAGTTATCTATTGTCTTCCTCTTTACACAATGTTATGCTTATCACACACACGAAACCTATGCGATTGTGTTTATAAGAAGCTTACAATATTTTAGCAATATCTTATGGTAATCTTGTATAGAAAGACACATGTTTCAAGAACTTGTGATCCTTACTTCTTTTCTACAATAACCTTTAACATTTTCTTGAAGAACATTTATCTGCTATGATTCGTCAAAAAATTATTATGTCATATACTGTCTTGGTAGAAAATTATGAAGTCAGTGGTAGAGTCAGTTGAAACTTGCCCAAACTTCATAATTTTACTGGCTCCAACACTGCTCTCATCAGAATCAGAACACATTAAGAGTATAATTTTTTATTAATTCTTTTTAATGTACAATTTATTAAAATTTTAGTATTTAAGATTTTATTTTATTTCCTAAACTATTTTAGTAAATTCAAAAACTAAAAAAAATAAGTTTTATATTTTTGGTACAAGAAAAATAAGTGTTTTTTTTCAAAAAAAAAAACTAAAAACAAGTAGAGGAGTAAATGAGAGGGAAAAACAGCTGAAGAAGTAGTTGGGACACGCTTGTTATAACACAAAATATCCACACATAACTGTAGAAAATATAATCCACATTTCAATTTCAGTGACTTGAATCACCAGAATGGCCCACCCAGTAGCAGAGGCAAACGAACATAGCCCCTTCGGTACCCTCACTCCGGACGAGTTCTACACTCGCCACTCAGTAACTCACTCCTCCGAGTTTGTCACTAACCCTAGAGGCCTCAAACTCTTCACTCAGTGGTGGATCCCTCTCCCACCAACTAAACTCATCGGAACCCTCGCCGTCGTCCACGGATTCACCGGCGAGTCCAACTGGCTAATCCAACTGACCGCTGTTTACTTCGCTAAAGCCGGTTTCGCCACTTGCGCTATCGACCACCAAGGCCACGGTTTCTCCGACGGTTTAATCGCTCATATCCCTGACATCAATCCCGTCGTCGATGACTGCATCACCTTCTTCGAATCCTTCCGCTCTCGCTTCGATCCGCAGCTTCCTTCCTTTCTTTACTCGGAATCTCTCGGTGGAGCTATCGCTCTTTTCATCACTCTCCGGCGGACCGGCTTGCCCTGGAACGGTCTAATCCTCAACGGCGCCATGTGTGGGATCAGCGACAAGTTCAAACCGCCGTGGCCGCTCGAACACTTTCTCTCAATCGCAGCAACACTCATCCCGACGTGGCGCGTGGTTCCCACGCGCGGCTCAATTCCGGATGTCTCCTTCAAGGTGGAGTGGAAGAGGAAGCTTGCGATTGCGAGTCCTAAGAGGACAGTGGCGCGTCCACGCGCCTCGACGGCGTATGAATTGTTGAGGATCTGTCGTGAGCTGCAGGGAAGGTATGAGGAAGTGGATGTGCCGTTTCTGGTTGTGCACGGGAGAGACGACGTCGTGTGCGATGCAGCTTGTGTGGAGGAATTGTACGCACGCGCTGCGAGTGATGATAAGACGCTGAAGATATACGATGGAATGTGGCATCAGTTGGTGGGAGAGCCTGAAGAGAGTGTGGAGTTGGTGTTTGGTGATATGTTGGAATGGCTTCGCAAACGCGCTGCGCTGGTTAGTGTCAGTTAGATAGAGAGCCAAAGGATTAAACTTGTTTAATTATGATATGTATTTTGTAATGTAGATGTAAACCATCAAATAACAATGTTTGCGATTATAATAAAATAACTTTGATACTCATGGTAGTCTCAAATGTAGAGGTAAACTAACTAAACTTTCATCAGCTCAATTGTAAGATTCTAATGCTTGCTTGCATTACATATAAATTGGGAAGTTGCAATTTAAAATCAAATGCTCAAATCTTTTCTGTTTCTAAAGATACAATCAATCAGATTTTAATAATTTGAGAATTTTAGAGGAAGCTTATCCAATATACATAAGGATCCTTCAGATATGTTTTTAATCATACATAGGGCTCTGTTCTCCAAATTTCATCTCCACTCCTAATGCTTCCTCTGATGTTTATATTGATTTACCTTCATGTATTGCTCCTAAAATATTTAATGAAATGCCATACATCCATTTTAGTCGCACACAAAAAAAACTTGCACTTTGCGAATGCTACTGCTGATACTTCATATAATAGACAAGCTTTTACAGTTAAAATTTGGGCATTGTTTTCAAGCATATAGTGATGATGTTGAATTACTTTTCCCATTTAGATTTCTTTACACTCGGAGGTTAGGGCCATGAGTATATGATGCTGATTGAAGTCCATTCAATGTTTCAGTAGAACCTGACAATCTGGACAGATCTCTACGAACACAATCATATGATAATGAATTCACCATTCATGGTTGGCAACCTAACATTTTATCCAATAAGGACTAAATATTTTTTTAATGTAAGACTGAGTGTTGAAAATACATAAGCATTTGTATGATTTGCAAATTGTAATAATTTGATAAAATATATGTTCACAACTGAGTCATAAATAATCTTTAGATGTGAATAATGACATGTACTTGTACTATATCTTACACTATGAGGAGGAAAAATAAACTTATGGATGGCTCTTTTCTCTGTCATCAGACATTAAAAGAACTTCCTCAGATGGGATGGTTTTTGGGAGTGCTGTGAAGCTAACCTAAGGCGGATCATCTCCTGCCTTTTCCATTCAGCCATTATCATGCCTTAAATTTAATGGTTGAAAAAATTAATTAATACAATTAATTAGAAAAAAGAGAAACAAAACGTAAATCCGATGGTTAGAGGAGGAGGCCCAAGAAGATTGGGAAGAGGTAGAAGAGAACATACCTACACCAAGGCCCAAGAGGAACAAGAACAAGCCCAAGCATTTCAAAGACTTTGTTATGAATTAGTAAAATAGCATCTAGAGAATATTCCTTAGCTATGACTCACCAATTTGTTAGTAGGTGATGTCACTAAATTTGTTAGAAGTGTCCTTGGATTCTATTTCCAATTTGTACTATTTAAGTACTATCGTATTCAGTAAATAAAGGCAAGGAATTTGACGCAAGTAGGTCTCTTTAGCCATTACGGTAGTGCTTCCATTACAAATAACCTTTCCACAAGTTGCATGGGAAGTTTATTTATATAACTACAAGTTACATGGAAGAATTGTCTTTTCAAGCCATCTTCTAGGATTTTTTACACAGTGAATGGCAAAGCAGTTATGCAATTATGCTGCCTCTGCCTCCTTAGCTCAATTGATTAGCTGAAAATTAGTGTTTGTCCTCATAAATCCCAGTTACAGAACACTGCATTTTAAGATCTTTGATTGTTTTGGACTTTGGTAACAATTCAAAGACTTAAAAATCAATTTCTCAGGTACAATAAACAAAATCACAATTCTGGATTTCAAAATGTACTTGGCAGTAAAAACATTCTGACTTAATGATTTTAATCACTATATAAAATTATTTTTGATATGTTTGTAATTTATTTTTGTAATTTTCTATTTTCTTTTGAAAGATTATAAAAAGTTATTTTCTTGTGGAATGGAAGAATCGCTATGTTGGGTTTAGTTGCTTTGGCATTCACAAAGTATGTTAAGGGTACATCTCTTGTGTAATAAATTTCTTTGGGGACACATATACGGTCTATAAGATTTGTGCTTAGAAGCCAATCTTGGAATTGTTTATGTAAACTCTTATGTAGTTACTCCTCTGAGTATGTGTACAAGAGAGTGTAATTGAACTCTCTTTATACTTTAAAAGAGTTTCTCTAATTTCTTCAACCGAATAAAATTCTTTTACTTTTGCTCTACGATCTTTGGATTATTTGATGAAGGTTTATCATGTAAATATTGTGTTTTATTCTTCTTTATATATCATCTCTTATTGTAGTTGTGTGAAACTATTTTGTTTCAATAGTATCAGTGCCACTGATTCGTGATTGTCTGTTGCAGCAAATTGGTAAGGTTTCAAATATGTAAGTAGATTCTTAATATGTTCCATGATTGCACTATAGTGTTTAGTAGTGTAAAAGGACATGTCTAGCTAGGAAAACTTCTAACTATCACAAATTTGGTATTTAATTGGATCTATTAGTGTTTTATTAATGTTCTATGAACTACACTTTGGAAGAAAATTTATACACAATTTCTTTTGAAGCAAAAGAAATTGCATGTAAATATACGTGTAAACACGCAATAAATAAAAGAAATTGTAAATAAACCTAAAGTTAATAAACATACACTTTGAAAGAGAGATTTTATATAGAATTTGATCAGAATCTTCCTTTTCTTAAGAGACAAAGTTGAGTTTTTATAAAATTTTAAGAAATGCATGAGGTGTATTGAAATATCCTGTAGTGTATTTCTCATTTCCCCTTATTAGCTCAAATTATTTCCTTCATGGGTCCGAAACCAGTATACCCATTTTTTAATCATTTTTAAAATTTCCCTTATTTTCTATGATATATACATAAATAAGGGCCCTTGATTTTTGAGGTATAAAAGATGGACAGTGATGAAAGTTGATAAAAAATGTCACCTTTCTCCCTTTCAATATAAAGATGGTTGAAAAAAATATTTTGGGGGATAATTTATCATCTCATATTTTGAACACAAGGCAAATAAAATGATCAAAAGATAATCTTAATCATATGATGATTTGACTTGGTTGTATTCTAAAATGGTCAATTTTGACCACAAGTTTGAAGCTGGTTATCTAGGAAACTACATTTAAGTCGAGATATGCTTGGAATCTTAGTCGAACTAAGAGTATCAAGGGACGAGTCAAAGATGAGATAATTTCAAATTTTGGGACTCAGTGAAATATGAAAAACTTTCAGTTTTATGTTGCTACTACATATACAAGCTTTTGTGGAAGCAAGATATAAATGGATAAGATTAGACTATTACTAAGAACACATGGAAGATTACCAGAGACAAAAGATGCATGGAAACGAAGACGTGTCAAATTTTGTTAAGTGTCTCCCCGAAGGCACTTCGGGGACGGGGGTGGCGTAAATATCCCCTGTCCCGTAGAGTCCCCGCCCCGCTTAGAATATTATAATAAACATAATTTATATATAATTTTAAATTTATATGTAGGTTTATTTGTCATTTCATATAATCTATCTTATAAAAAAAAAATTTAAAATATAAATGTATTGTTAGTAAAAGAGTGAGATATAAATGATTATTTTAAAAATTTTAAGTGCGAAATTTTGGTGGTTATGACACTCAATATAGATTAAATATTGTTAAAATAATATATTTATCATAAAGGAATAATTTCTAAATTTTGTTGTGGTTAGTTTTTGAAATTTTTACTATTAATTTGGTTTAAAATAATAAATAAAGAAAACCATGTTTATGGATCTCCTTATGAACCTTGGGGATCTGTGGGGATCCGCGGGGACGGGGATGGGAGACTAAATCCCTCCGTGGAGGGGACCCGAGACGCAGACGGGGAATAGATTTGAGGACGGTGACTGAGATGGGAATGTATCCCCCGCCCCGCTCAATTGACATCCCTATGTGTCAAGGACATTTTCTCTAACATTTGGAAGATCCTTCTGATCAAAGGAGACAGATTTATGGAGTCTTGTTTATGGCCATGGAACATATTCTGTTTAGAGAGGAGTTATTAACATGTATCAATCATAGGATGTGCAACTATTGAAAGGGAGAATGCATGATTCTCAAGAAATTCTTAGAAGTTAATAAGGGGGAGTTCTTAATCTGAAGCTAGAAGATCTTGAAGAAATGTCATATATAATGTCTTGACATCCTTGGTTTGAGAATTTATTTTTCTCAATATGACTGGTGTTGTTTCTCATTAATAGGATATGTAATGTTTACTATAACCTGATGTCTCTTGTCAAGTCTATGAGAGCATAGAACTCTTGTTCTACTGTAATGGAAAAGTCTTTCAAGGATTGTCTGTATTAGAGGTGTGTCAACCAGAATTATGTGGTTGGCTTGTGTCTGCAATATTGAAATGTCATCAATTCACCTAGGATGAGCATTTCAGTTGTTTGAAGCAAGGGTGAGTTATTAGTTTGGGACCAAAGGATTATGGTTCTCTGGTATCTATGGGAAGTTCCTCTCTCTGCTAGGGTTCAATTATGTGGTTTCCTCACACGATGACAAATATTTTTGCATTGACTGAAGGGAATCCTTGTGTGGTGGAGAAGTAAACTTATTCTGCACACTTTGTTTGTGATGACCAGTAAATGCCATTATTCTTGAAGTTTGCTCTTTAGGTACAGAAGGATGGCATCCAACACCTCAAAGTCAGACGTGAGGTTTGAACATTGTGCTTTTGAGAAGAAATCTTCTTGAGGTGTGCATGCTTTGCATATATTTTGGTATGCGTTGAAGATTGATCAACTACTGATGGTTGATCCTCTTGTATCCCTTACAAGAGTTATGGGTTACTATGGTGTCTCCAGACCATAGTTAATGGTGAAATCCAAGTGTTTGAGACTGATGTTGGATAAGATGTTAGAACATCGTCTCAAAGTGTGATTTATTCCTTCAACCAAGGAAGTGTGTTTTTTGTCCAGAATGGAGTGAAAGGTCAAGCCACTGACCTAATCCGAACTGATCTGGGATGTAAGTGAATGAATCAGCTGGTGCCAAACGTATGCAGAAGAAGGATGTCCGATCAAATGTCATATGTTGTGTGAGAAGGTAATCTTATATGACCTATAATGAATACTTTGACGAAAGCTGAGTATTTGTTTATCCTCTAAGGAGGTTGTGCATGAGACTGATGGTGAATAATTTGACGGGAGACTAAGTATTTATCTGAGGAGATTATACAATTATGTATTATGAACATTATGTTTCAGAGATTATGTGAGAGTTTATTTCTCTCTATAACATTCAAGTGTTTGGAATAACTGTTAGCTCCTAAATTCAACACTCACATATATTGGCCTTATTGGCTAAAAATAGATTGAAGAAATCTAAGCTGAAGACACTTCGACAGAAGAGCCTGTGAAAAGAGTTGTGTAGAAGTCATCCTCGCTAAAAAGGAAAAAACACTTAGAATTTTCTAAGTTAAAAACAGTTTCGACCGAAAAGATCTTGTATCAGCAGCAAGTGGATTTGAATCTGAAGAAAGGAGGGAAAGACAATTCATTTGGCAGTTGGGAAAAGCGACGTGGCGTGAAGATAAGGGTCGAAGAGCATGTAGAAGACACTTGTCTTCATCCTTGAACGAAGCAACAGTTCAACAGTTACTTATTATTAGTATAAATATATGAATTTTATGTAGAATTT